GTGTTTACTGGGCTCCCTGTGGCCATCACCCTTCTAGCACCACCCATGTTTACTGGGCTCCCTGTGGCCATCACCCTTGTAGCACCATACATGCATATTCATTTACGTTATTTATTCACAAGTTACTTGAAGACCGACCAAAAATTGCTGACTCACTCGAGGCTCGCTTGATGGCATGCGCGGGAGTAACCTAGCAACGGATATGCATGTACAGTATACTGTTCAAATATTAATAGTGATATATTAACGGATCATCGTAATAAAATGTCCCCACATTCGGGACATCTGTGTGTGTTTTTTTGTGTGTGTGGAAACATTGCGGCATACTTACTTATTGTTCTAGTACTACATTTAATATCCTTAAAAATAAAATATACCACTGGGAATTTGTCAAAAAAATGCGTAGTATTGCTGAAAAGACTGCCGACGCGATACATGTAGAAACAAAATTGTAAGATTCCGTAATAGTAAATTATGTCCGAGGGACGTTCATGGTGTGTAGTCGTATTTCGAGAGGTCAGTGAAAACATTGGAATTGCTGTACTTGCAGGTACGAGTATGTATTTTCGTCTAATGAACATCGATGACGTCATCGTCATCCGGGTACAAACGTTGTTCAGCCGTAACTATTATTCCAATGTGTTGGTTTGTGAAAACACATCATAATTTACGCCTTTTATTTACTATATTTGGTAATTTCCACCCCTTGTTTACGGCCTTGAAATAGAACCACTGTAACAAAATGTCCATAGTATTTTACATAATAATTAAATTAAATTAACAAGCATACCGATTTCTTTTCTGAGTGGTATAAGATAGTACGTAAGCGACATGTAGTTGCCAATCAACAAACAAGGATTGTGAGCTACCTGCCTAATGAAACAATTTTCTATTTTTATAATACAGACTCTAAAATTAAACACTATTATTTATTACCATCCACCATTATGCGCTGAATTCTGTAGCAAGCTTTATTTTTTTGTTACATCAATTGATGTTGATTTAATATTTTATGACAATAGCTAACAGTCAAAAATGCGAAATACTCTGAGTCCGTGTATATTGTCAGTAGGTGACATTAATTTGTTCAAATAACCTTAAATTTACCTAACGACTTTGTGAAAATCGTTACACCGACTGACTTGACGTTGATGTATCTGGTCAATTATTTGGCTCGGACCAAATGCGGGTTCCTCATACAGCTACTCTAGACGTGTCAATGAAACAACATACACAGTAATGTGCTAATTAAAACATGTAATTTAGCTAATTAACACCTTATGTTGCACACTGTGTTCATGGTGTACGATATAGGTTCCGGTTTTGAATTCCTCCCTAACGCTACCACCGCCGCCCTCAACCAATCACTCCCACTACACCCTAACCACCCTTCGTGCTAAGAACGACGCGCGGGGAATGTGACTGTGAGTCATGTGTGTAGTCATGGGAACTGTTTGAATTTACCTGCCTAGCCTCGTCACTTGATTACAGTGTGACATCGAATACGTTGACCTTGGTAGCCATTGCGGTGAAAGGTCGCGACAGCGCTAACGACGAAGGAAGCCCTGCTCTATATGTTATGGTGGGAATGCATGTAATTTTCGCTCTTGATGCATAAATAGGGTGACAGGGGCATAGTACTTTTTACCAATTTCACGCACACGTTATCATTTATTGACTATGCACGACCCCCTCCAGTGGCGGATCCAGCAAAATGTATTGGAGGGCCAAGCTACGCTTAAAATTACGGAGCGTAAATCGCAGAGAAGCTATGCGTAATCCAGATGATATAAATCGTCATGCGTTTGGAGGGGGCCATGCCCCCCTCTGGATCCGCCACTGACCCCTTCCGTGTTCCAGTCACGGTTGAAATACAATGATAGAATAAACAATTGTATGGATAAATAATTAATAGTATAATCTAAGTAAGCTATTAAAGATAGACAACAAAACAACAACAATACACATAACATACTGTACCATATTATGGAAAACATAATTATAAGGACTATAAATATAAAATATAAGATATAGGTTGATATGTGATGCTGTCTTAATACTAGATATATAAGAATTCAATGTATATACCTAGCTAAATAAAACACTAAAACTCCTACGTGCTACCTGTTGATGATGTCTTCCGTGACGGTTACAACATACCGTGTGTGATCAGATAACGCAGCTTATCTTGCTAGGAAATAACCATGGTTTCGCCATTACACTGAGCGTATTGGTTTCACATTATATTAAGTCATAACGCATTCTCACCTCTATTTCTTCATTTTGCGGTGGTAATTCCTTCTCCTGAGTTTCATCCTCTTCCTTCACTAGCTGACCAATGCAAAAACCTTCCATCAGTTTATATGCATTTTGACTGTGGCTATGCGTTGCTCCTTTCATTACACTAGCCACATCTTTTCCCACGTGCTCTGTCAATACTTCACGACCACCGGGGTGTTTCATCTGATTCGCGAACTCGCTGACATCGTACACTTTATTCCGTTTAATGAAGATAATTGATCCCTTCTTAATAAGGCAATCAATTTCTTGTTCAGTAATGGCCTCCATGCTCTGTCCTGTATATATTTCTGTGAGTTCCAATAGCTATACGTACACCACGCACCAATCCCTTCAGGCCCCACCCTTTTCTGGATCTCAACTATATACGGGTACGAACTCCAAACGAGTAACCGTAGATAATCCAAGGTGTTCGGCGTCAATGTACAAATGATTTCACTGCAACAGTGTTCGCCTGGTGGCGTACGCCTGGCAAATGCCGGAATAATTGTCGATATTCACCGCGACAATTTACGTGTTTATCACCCCAACAGACACGATATCTTTTAGAGTCACTCAGAGTTCATCATTTAAACAGCGCCTCAGGTATTGCTAACATATCAGGTGTGTGGAATTGTGGGACGGTGGGAATGGCTACGATTATAATGCGGTGAAACGGCGCATTCTCATTGGTTGATCGGCACCACCCGCTTGAGTTCGATGCACGAACATACGAATAAGATTCTTGCGTGTGGCTTATTAATATTTAATCTTTTCATCTACGTGTTTGCATCGTTTAAACAACAAACCCACCATTATTTTTTATATTCAATTTACATACATTTTAGTGTATTATAAGGACTCTATGGTGTCTGTTATTATGTGATAACATGGCTCGGACATGGATTCTCAATTCAATACTAGTAATGTGTACATCCCACCCTTGCCCTAATAGAACCCAGTAATTGGTGGTGCGTCGTCCATAACTTCCTAAATATTGGTTATGGTATTAATAATTCATATTAACAGCTAAAATGGCACAGTTTGTGTATACTATTATAATAGTAAACAAACCTCTGTTCGTCGCTCTTACATTATAGGGGAAGACATTTCTTTTTATTATAAAAGGTAATTTGTAAAAAAGGTAATATAGTAGGGTTAACTCGTGCAACCTGTGCATCCTACAAGAACTAGACTAGACAGAACTACAAGTTGAATAAGATTATTAAGGGTTACGACTAAATATATGATTTCACTACATGTTATTATTATTTGTCATAGTTTGGTGTACGGCAATTCATGACATTTCCTTATCATTTTGACTTATGTTGACCCCTCACCACAAATTCGTCTACTCCCATAGATTGTAAAAGAGATCAGAATTGACCCCCATGCTCCGTTTGCATATGTGTATCTTAATGACTATTAACAATACTAGTTTCTATAGGACCCCTAGTGCTGTTGTTCGCCGGTGCTAATAGTGCCCAGTTCACACAGTCTCCCGTAATTTTACTGGGCCCTTTCTGTTTGCCATTATTATTGAGTTTTGTTTTGTTTACCCCCACACTAACACGTGTATAATACAATGGGTGATTTTATAGAGGAAGGGGAAATACACCCTGGCTTGTGTTCTCCCGGCTCGTAATTGAAATCATGCACCGTGTACACACTAGATAATTACTCGTAGTCCTCGCTCGAACAGAGTCCAAACAAGTTTTATCTTCGTGTCCCTGCACCCGTTCGTCTGTGTGTCCATCGGTCATACGCACCGACATTTCATGCCTACCTGAACGGATCACGTTTAAAGTTCACACACACATCACACCTTTATGTCTTCAGGGTCGGATCTAGGATTCTGGAATGGGGGGGGGGGGGATAAGTTGGCCGAAGACAAAGTTCGCGAGCGCCGATGGCGCGAAGCCCTGTTGGTTGTTAAAAATAGGGGGCGCGACCCCCTCTAAATACGCCAATGGTCTTACGTATGTACATGCATTTGTTTTATTATCTAATCTGCACATCACGCATTAAACCTTTCAGGCTCACTGTTTATGGATTTAAACTACCCGGTATATACCCGGTATAATAACCCGTGGATTTCAATGCAACAGTATTCGCCTGGTGGCGTACGCAGTATAACTGTCGATATTTACCGGGGCAATGTGTTTGTTTATCACCTCAACAGACACGTCAATCAGAATTCACAGTTTGCAGTAAGAAATCAAGAGTACGTAATTATGTGAAAGTGGGCGTGTCTACAAACAGTATAGGGGTAACACATTGGAAATAATAGGGGTAGCTGTAAGAGTGTAACCAGTGCAATTTGTGTTCGCGGTGTCTTGTCTGTACAATTTAATTTTTCTTGAACGTGCCAACATTTTACACGAATTTTTTTCTTAGTGTCTACTTTGCATTTAAAAAAAAAAAACTTTCATAAAATAATAAAGCAGGAAAAAGTGGATAGCTATGTCTAAAACTTCTATGATTTCATTGTTCTAAATTTGAGTTATCTCGAAATAGCATGCTAATGCAAACTTACAGTGACTCGATGGGCATTACAATTCCAATCTCTAACGTCACAACAATAAGATTACATTTCACATGAACTGTAAAACATCCTGTTCTCATTAAGTCTGTTAGATTTGTCCGAATATTATAACCAGCACTGCCATATACCCGATTTATCATTTTGTTTAACTTTCTCTGTGACCTCGTCAGTTTCGTTTTATTTTATAAACCTACCCTTTCTTCAAATATTTGATGTGCATTTACCTTTATTTATATACACACCTATATCGCAGAGCCAATATTGTATACAAGTTTGTGCACTGCCCCTGAGTGCCCTCGTACAATTTATCCGACTCTGATAAAAACACGGGGTTATATCTGGAAGCTATACTATAGAGTGAGTGTTTTGGACCTATACCATGAACAACTTCACCATTGAATGATTCAACAAGCAGTTACATCACCAAACACACAATGCAGAATGTAGGCTTATTAACATAAATACAAAAGATATATTGTACGCTTCGTCATATGCGGATGGAAACATATCGCCTGATATTGAAATGACCATTTATTGCGTGTATTTAATAAAAACCATCATCGAACTCGTGGACAAATTTGTCAATAGTTAAAGAAAAATATTATATCATTAAAATATTAAAAAATATTGTTTGTCTCTTATTTACCCCCGGTAAATAGTCGTTCTCCATGACAACGATCTTGGCCCCAATTTACGGAATAAAATCATTCTTATCGATCATGTTTAGTTGGTATAACATATACTTTATACTTTGGTGACATGTCAGTCCCTGGTGACATGATGGGTCCAGGTGACATGGCGGGTCCAGGTGACATGGCGGGTCCTGGTGACATGTCAGTCCCTGGTGACATGACGAGTCCAGGTGACATGACGAGTCCAGGTGACATGACGGGTCCAGGTGACATGGCGGGTCCAGATGACATGACAGGTCCTGGTGACATGTCAGTCTCTGGTGACATGACGGGTCCAGGTGACATGACGGGTCCAGGTGACATGATGGGTCCAGGTGACATGGCGGGTCCAGGTGACATGACGGGTCCAGGTGACATGACGGGTCCAGGTGACATGGCGGGTCCAGATGACATGACGGGTCCAGGTGACATGACGGGTCCAGGTGACATGGCGGGTCCAGGTGACATGGCAGTCCTGGTGACATGGTGGGTCCTGGTGACATGGCGGGTCCAGGTGACATGGCAAGTCAGGTGACATGGCAGTCCAGGTGACATG